CTCTGTCCACAACATAAAAATAATTAAACATTTTTTTATTACAGCTTTCAGTAAATATTACATAGTTTCTTATTTTATACAAATTTTTATACGAAAATAAATTTTAAATAAACATAATTCAATTATATATTTAGTGTTATTGCGTTTCAAAACCTATTGAAAATGAAAAAGTATACTGGAGATTGTCGCATTCACGAGACGAACAAAAATTGGCCAAGAATCTTTCTAATGATGCAACGAAATGCATTCGAATTATTAAAGCTTTATTTAAGTTAGAAACAAATGGTTTGTTTTCAAAGTTCACATCTTTTTATATCAAAACAGCAGCATTTTATTTAAATAAACGTGAAAATTGGCCAAATGAAAAAAATCTTGCTCGCAGTATTTACGACTTTTTAGATTTCATCAAAGAATATTTGACAAATGGTGAACTGTTAAACTATTTTGACAGCAGTGTTAATCTTCTAGAAAATATTGAAGTCCCTCTGAAACAATTAGCAAATACTATTAATGGCTGGCTAAAAAATGAACAAAAATTCTTGTCGAAGATTTCATCATCTTAAAGAGGCAGTTTGTCAAACTATCAGCAATAAAAAGAATTATGAATTTTCTTTTTTTTATTATGTTGGTACATAATAATTTGAAATAAATAAAAACAAAAAAACAAAAACTTTATTTAGTTAAGTTAAATTTGACTGATGTATATTAATTTAGAATTATGTTCATAGGGTTCATTTTTTATTTTATTTTATAATTTTTCATCAACAACTTTGTGAGCAATTATAAAAACAATCATAATTAGAAATTTTTCAATTTTGCATAAATCTTTAGTTATTTGTTATAGTTCTACTTTTAGACGTCATAACAATAAAATTGTTCTATATTTTTCCTTTTCTTGAGGTACATGATTACTATAGCTATAAAAAAAAAACTAATTTGTTAGTTAATAATTTGTGATTTTGTATTTTGTGATATTCAAGTATTCTTATTCGTGATTTATCATTTAATAAAATTTGTTTCCTATGTAAGTTGTTTTACTATTAATTTTTTTTTTATTCAAGGTAATCAAAAAATATTTGTATGGGAAAGTTGAACATGTTAGCGATGGATTGTTTTTACATAAGATTTATATTTTTTGAAGATTATTGTAACTTAAATGAAAATATTTTTTGAAAATTATTTTAAATTATTCCTCTCAAAGAATATCAAAGTATTGTTAACTTTTATACCAAAAACTGCTATATTTTCGAAACAACTAACCGTCTTATCTCAGGGAACCAATTTCCAAAGATGCAAGATAAGCCGCCATTTTATTTGAAGAATTTTTTTATAAAAACAAAAAAATAAACATATAAATAAAAATAAAAAGTTTAAAAGAATCAAAACTAAAGTTAAAATGATAATGTGAATAATAAAAAAGTAACAAAAGATAAACAATTAGTAATGATTGGCTAACTAACTATTAAGAGTTATTTTCATTTAATTGATAAACAACTAAAATTCTTGATGCCATTCTTAATGAGGCAATTCTTTAATTTTTTTTTTCATATACTGCATGGAGCAACATCACCATTACTGTTGTTGATAATTTTTTATATATATATATATACTTTACTTTTAGTAATTTTCTTACTTATAAATAACACAGTTTTTTCATTGGCAACCTGCTGTCAGTGTTTGGAGTGAGTGTTTGGAGTATGTCAGTGTTTGGAGTGAGTGTTTGGAGTAAATTGACCATTAAACGAACAAAGTTTAATGGTCAATTTACTCCAAGTAGTCAATTTACTCTTGTGTATGCTATAAATAGATTCAGCCTATGCAACTACTACTCCAACGGAATTACTCAAATGCTCAGTCTCTGTCAATTTATTCAACCATCTACTTCAAACACTTGTCAATGCGTCAGCTAAGTTATCTTTTGAAGGAACCAGTTTTACATTAACATTAAAACCATATTCTTAAATAAATTGTTACAAAACGCTTAGTCTTCTTCAAATCAACATTTTGCTCATTGCTTTTGATTTCAATCTTGACTTACCAGTGAGAGCGTCAGAGACCTAATGGAACGCTATCACCAAATCTGTAAAAAAAAGTCACCTTTTTTGTTTTCACGTAAAACCTAATTCATTCCTCGCATCACAGCCTCCAGCTTTGTCATGTTTATATGATCATCAGGCATTTCTTTCGCAACCATGTTGGGCCTTCTCCATCTCTCCATTTCCACTAACTTTCCATTCAACACCATTAAATATTGCATTATAATCTTGTTTTTTATTTTCAATTTTATTGACTTTATCTTTCTTTGAGACTGCTATTCCACACGAACTGAACCCAAACTTTGCCATTCCAAACGGGGAAATAAAAACTCCTCCTTTCAATTTAATGGAACTCATTCCAAGCAGCTCTTATTTTGTGTAACATAACATCAATTTGATCCGTAATGACTTGAAACCTTGATGGCAAATCCTCAGGCAACCCATTAACAAACGCTAATCAAACAGACTCTTCTGACAATTAAGCGTGATAAGCCAATCGTTTTAAGTTGGCCAAAAACACAACTTTCTCTCCGACGTTTAATTTTCGTTTCACAAAAAGTTCGTATGCCGCATAAGCATCTACAGAGAATGCTGCTAACAAGACACGCTCAGCTTGCTTATTTTCAGCTTTTAACTCATCATTTACTAAATGAGCAGTTCCTCTTAAAAGAATTGGAATGACTAACTTCAGATATTTAATATTTAATGTATAAAAAATTTGGAAAGTTAGAAAGGAATCAATAACTTAATAAATGTCAAAAACTCTAATCACTTGTTTCCCAACTTTTTACAAGATAATGAAACATATATAACTGAACCAAATCTTATATCTGAAAAGTTTAACACTTTTTTTACAAATGTTGCACAAAAACTTAAATGCAATATTCATTCGTTTTACATAAAGTACATCGTCTACTCCTATCTCCAACAAACATTCCTGATCTAATTTGAAGCCGAGAAAATCAATAGGCCCAAATAACATTCCCACAAACGTTCTAATCAATTTTAACTATGAATTTCCAAATATTTTTTCTAAACTATTTAATATATCATTTATAAATGGAACTTTTTTTGAATGTTTTAAGTTATCTTGTGTTGTTCCAATATTTAAAAACGGCTCTAAACTGTTATGTACTCTTTTCTTTACTCTTTTAGCTGTTGAATTTTAATTTGGTTTTTGTTCAAAACATTCTACCTACCATGCATTGATAAGTATAACTAAAGAAAATCAGGAAAACTCTCGACATCTGGTCATTTTGTTTGTGGTATTTTTATAGCTTTACAAAAAGTTTTTGATACTGTTGATCATAACATATTGCTTTCTAAATGAGTTGTAAGTTACTGGTTTCGATCTTATCTTATAGATCGGAAAATATTTGTAAGTATTAATGGTTATAATTCTACTAATAAATCTGTTGTGGGCGGTGTTCCTCAAGGTTAATTTATGTTAATGACATAAACAACTCTGTTCTCTTCTCGTCAACTCATCTTTTTGCTGATGACACAAATTTCATTTCAACAAATTGTATAATTTAAAAACATAAATTCGGATCAAAAGGGTATTGTCGACTGTTAAATGCTAACCTAATATGTCTTCAAGCAAAAAAAAATTCAAATCAAAATTGATATGAAACGGTTGTATCCTACAAAAGTTATCAAATATCTAGGTGTTTTGATTGACTGCAATCTCTCGTGGAATTTTCATATTGATGAGCTACGTAAGAAACTAACTCAACTAAAATCTTTTTTACTATATATATATATATATATATATATATATATATATATATATATATATATATATATATATATATATATATATATATATATATACATATATATATATATATATATATATATATATATATATATATATATATATATATATATATATATATATATATATATATATATATATATAGCAACCGACGTCGAGCCAACGGATCAAAAGGGTATTGTCGACTGTTAAATGCTAACTTAATATGTCTTCAAGCAAAAAAAAATTCAAATCAAAATTGATATGAAACGGTTGTATCCTACAAAAGTTATCAAATATCTAGGTGTTTTGATTGACTGCAATCTCTCGTGGAATTTTCATATTGATGAGCTACGTAAGAAACTAACTCAACTAAAATCTTTTTTACTATATATATATATATATATATATATATATATATATATATATATATATATATATATATATATATATATATATATATATATATATATATATATATATATATATATATATATATACATATATATATATATATATATATACATATATATATATATATATACATATATATATATATATATATATATATATATATATATATATATATATATATATACATATATATATATATATATATATATATATATATATATATATATATATATATATATATATATATATATATATATATATATATATATATATATATATATATATATAGCAACCGACGTCGAGCCAACGTGGATTTGATAGTCGGCGCGACGTCTCAACCAACCGTTGGGCCAACGTTGACCCGACATCGAATTCTGACGTTGGGCGAGCGTCGCATTCTGACGTTAGTCCGACGTAATATTTAAATAATAAGAGTTTTGATTTGTTTTCAAAAACTTTGTTTTTGATTCAAAAGGTGCGCTTATCTTTTGAATCAAAAACAAGGTTTTTGCAAACAACTATTTCTTTGACTAAAGTGCAACGTAAGGAAAGTGCATTTCTTTAAAAAAGGCGCAGCTAATTCTTAAAATAAAGACCAACCATTTCTATAAATAATGTCCAACCATTTTTTTATATAACGTGCAACCATTTCATTAAATAGTGCAACTATTTTAAAAAGTGCAACTATTTCTTTGTAATGTTCATTAAAATACAATGTCCAAGAAAGTTTAAATAAAATTTGATGATAAATCAACTTTAATTTAACAATTACATCGAGAAAATCAAAACTTGTTGTAATAACTATTATGATTATGTTAAAATATTCGTACAAAATATATTCAAACATATTAATGTTCATCTCAACTGCTAAGCATCCTTACAAATCTTAAATCTTCACTTCGCTTGAGAGCAACTATAACGTTCGAATGCTCCTCTTTATACAATTTGATAGAAATCTTTAAACTTGCATCTTTGGTTTGACGAGCTTTAGACATTGCCATAACTGCTGGACTGATGGTAAAACTATAAGAATTATAACTCAGACATTTGTGTGTGTATATATATATATATATATATATATATATATATATATATATATATATATATATATATATATATATTCATATATTTATATATATATATATATATAATATATATATATATATATATATATATATATATATATATATATATATATATATATATATATATATATATATATACAAAAATGTTTGATAATGATGCTTTAAGTAAAAGTTTAACGATGTAATTATTAACAAGATACAGACGACAACTATTAAAGTAAATCCTGAAATTAAAGGATTCCGATGTTGGACAAACGTCAAATTCTGACATTGGCCCAACATTATATTTTATTAATGAAAGTTTAAATTTGTTTCCAAAAACATTGTTTTTGATTCATAAGGTGAGTGCACATTTTGAACCAAAAACAAAGTTTTTGCAAACTAAAATCATTTCTTCAACTAAAATGCAACTACTTCTTCAACTAAAGTGCAACTATTTTTTTAAATAAAACGCAACTGTTTCTTTGTAATGTCCATTAAAATATCCAAATCAGTTTGAATAAAACTTAAGGCTGATAAACACATGTAATACATTGATGCTAATTTATGAACCAACTTTAATTACACAGAAAACAAAAATTTGTTGTAATAATTATTATAATTACGTTAAAATATTCATACAAACTATACATATATTCAGATATATATATATATATATATATATATATATATATATATATATATATATATATATCTTTAAATTGTTTGAGAGCAACTAAAATGTTCAAATAACACAGTTTGATAGAAATCTTTGAACTTGTATCTTTGATTTGATGAGCTTTAGGGATTGCCATAACTACTGTTGAAATTATAAGTATAATTGTGTGAGTGTATATATATAGAGTGTATATATATATATATATATATATATATATATATATATATATATATATATATATATATATATATATATATATATATATATTTATATATATATATATATACATATTTATTTATAGATATATATATATATATATATACATATATATATATATAAATATATATATATATATATATATATATATATATATATATATATATATATATATATATATATATATATATATATATATATATATATATATATATATATATATATATGAACATGAATAACTGTAAAGTCAAGAATGAGCAAGTAGAAAATACTGGGAAGTGGGGATGTGGAGTGAGTAGGAAGAGAGTTGGAACAAATTCCATTATTTGTACAGTTTGTAAGCAATGGGTTCATAAGAGATGTAGTGGTATACAAGGTTCGTTCAAGATTGTTAGTTTTGAGTGTAGAAAATGTACTGTTGGTGAGTATGGAGAAGAAGTTAGAAAAGAGGTTGAAATAATAAGTGGAGAAGCAGTAAAGTGTGTTAGTAAATTTTGTTATCTCGGAGATACAATTGGATCAGCTGGTGGAGCAGAAGAAGCATCTAGGGTAAGAATAAGGTCTGCTTGGCCCAAGTTCAGAGAATTATCTCCACTTTTACCAGCAAGAGATGCTTCATTAAAGAATAAGGGAAAGTTATACAGCATATACATACAGAGTGTTATTATGTATGACAGTGAAACATGGGCAATGAATGTTGATGATGTTCAGCATTTGGAAAAAACAGAAAGGATGATGATTAGATAGATGTGCGCGGTGACTCTAAAAGTCAAGAAAAGCAGTGATTTAAGAAAAAGATTAGACATAGTGACTGTATCTGATAGGGTACTTCAGGGAAGATTGAGGTGGTTTGGGCATATAGAATGTAAGGATGCAGATGACGGGTTATCAGCATGTAGAAAGTTAGCCGTTTCAGGAGAAAAAGGTAGAGGTAGAAACAGAAAAACTTGGAAAGAGTGTGTTTGAGATGAAAAAGCTACATTTAAGGTACAAAGATATAAGAAGATATTCAAGAACATGTATGTTGGAGAAATGGCATTATGAGAAACGTAAAACCCGTGCAAGCACAGAAACAAAGACGCTAAAACAATGATGATGATGATGATGATGATGATGATGATGATGATGATGATGATGATGATGATGATGATGACGATGATGATGATGATGATGATGATGATGATAATGATATATATGAATACCTAAATATATTCATACAAAAAATATATTCATTGAATATATTTTTAATTAAAAACATATTTAAAATATGTACAACATAAAAATAAAATCAACATAAATAAATACATAATACAATAACTTGTATGTTGCATAAACATGGCAGCAAAATGTACATTTCAAAATCAGTGCATTTGTTGATATTGCATTAATTTTTCAAGTCATCTAAACAGAAAATTATTGAATAAAAGTATCACTCAAAAATTAGAAATTAAAAGCTTCAAAAATTTGCTTATACAAATATTATAAAAGTTCCAATTACCATTAACGCCACAAATGCATATAATTAATACACTCCCATTTAATTGTTGCTTTCTCCGTCTTTAACAACAGTCGAATGAATTTAAAAAACAAATGCTTCACTGGACATAACTGGAAAAAACAACAATTTAAACAAAAGCTTCATTAATTAATTATGTGTCAGGAAATAACACATTTATTTCCCCCTATGCCTTAGTAAACCCTGGAAACTTCATCCAGGCATTGTAAGAAATCTGTAATTGTTTAACTTAAAAATATTCCTAAATTATATATATATATATATATATATATATATATATATATATATATATATATATATATATATATATATATATATATATATATATATATATATTCAACTAATAATTTTGAAGTAAAAATAAACACAAAAATGGAAATTAAGTACTCCATTCCTATTGTTGTCAAACAAACAATTAATGTAATTTCTTTTCACAACCACTTTTTTTGCATAATTTAATCTTATTTAATTCTTTTAATAAGACTTTTTCTTATGATTTAACCTTTCTAATTTTTCCATTAAAAACCACTCTTTCTCGTTAATTAACCTTTCTAATTTCTGTAACAACCTTTTTTTTCATTAACAACCTTTTTTTTCTTTAACAGCCTTCTTTTTGTTTTTCAGCCTTTCTTAGTTCTATAACAATCACTTTTTTTCCTGATTTAATTTGTTTGTTTTAAAATAATACCTTAACAGAGTCCTTGCATAGCTTAAAAAAAAAAGAAAAAAAAAGGGGTTTTATACAAATTTAACCAAACTTATAATTTTTTATGAAAAAGTTTGAAAATAATAATTAAACAATATTAGCACTAACTATATTATTAAGTTAATAATGTATGTAGTACACACAGTATAAATAAAAATATACGACACATTATGTAGTACACTGTACGATAAAATCTGAATTAATATAGACAAATACTCAGTATTATACATTTAGTAAAATTTAAATGATTTACACATTGTGTATTAGTGTATAATCTAAAGTTAAGGCCTAAGTTGAGAGTTAAGACTTAAGTCTTAGCTCCTAAGACTTGGGAGATACACATTGTGTGTATAAGACTTGAGAATTTAGCCTTAACTTGGGTCAAGTTAAGGCTAAATTCTCAAGTCTTATACACACAATGTGTATCTCCCAAGTCTTAGGAGCTTGAGATTTTTATGTATCATACAGTGTACATGTACACTGTATGAATCATACAGTGTACATGTACACAACTACATATTTATTACTTACTTAAGACTTAATTTTTTAACAACTACAAGTTATCTGCATCATACATAATTTTTATGTATCATACTATGATACATAAAAATTATGTATGATGCAGATAACTTGTAGTTGTTAAAAAATTAAGTCTTAAGTAAGTAATAAATATGTAGTTGTGCCTATCATACAGTCTTAAGTGAAGTTCAACTCAACTTAAAGTTGAGACTTAACTTAGTAAAACCATTTTTTAACGAATGATTTGAAAATGCATGTTTAAAGATATACAAGTTACAGGATATTTGTATTTTTTTTTATTATGATCTGATATTCAATTCAAAATTAATCACAATTATTATAAAATCATTAATTTTCGAATTCAAAGCCATATAAAGCAATTCTCTAATAAAAAGTTACAATAGCTATACAACAACCCTTTAACAGCTTTTAAATATGGCCGAAAACTTTAATAACGCTAAAACCTGTAACACACTGTACGCATTTAAAATGTGTCGTATTCCGACGTTGGCCCAACGTTGGTCCGACGTCAGCGCTTATATTATAAAACTGTCTGACGCTTTCGACGTTGGCCCGACGTTGGCCCAACTTATGTGTGCTAGCTGGGAGTGTACATGTGTGAAATAAAAGATTTTATATTTTCAATTTAAGAGTCGTTTCTGAATCGTTCCTTTTATATACTGTGTGAAATTTCACATTACTTTTTTCTTATCATTGTTTACATTTCTTATTGTTCTTCTTATTGTTTTCTATGATATTTTAGAATAATATGTGACACTAATACTTTTAATAAGAATATGATATTTTTTTTAGAAGTATTAGCGTCACATACAGCAAAATTCGATATGGTCGAATAGCTGATCGGCGATGGTAGGTCTGTGGAAATCGCGTTTTACGGAACCGAATTTTTTCCTTAAATTCTGAACCACGTTTTTTGAACTTTTTTCATAGGTAGCGTCAGAGAATACATTTTTTAAAGGCTTTTTTTTTTAGAAACATATATAAAGTTAAATTATCTTTGAAAAAAAAAATAGTTAAACTTCAATTTTATATGACATTTATGTGTGGTATGTAAACTTTGTATTGGGTTTATTGATTTTGAAAATTAGGTTGTTGTTCTCGCACCGAATTATTATTGAAGATATGCTCAGATAGTTTGCAAATCTATCCAGATAGTTTTTGATGCAAATTTCCTATGTACTTGCCAAATTTCATAGAAAAAAAAATGTAGCAGATAGCTTATAAAGTGTAGCACTTTTTGTACCTAATTTTTGTTTTTCAGAATTCATAAAACGGCGGATATCGGGGTGGATTTCTATAACTTTTTTTTTCATTTAATATTTGATTTAAATGACCAACAAATTATTAAAAATAATCAACAAATTATTTAAAAAATCAACAAATATCTAAATAGATATTTGTTGATTTTTTTTAATCAAAAGTTTATCGTTAAAAATGAAGTTGTATGTGTGAAACTTTAAACTTGTTAAAAAAAAAAAGGAAATTTACTAATTGGTATATTTAAATACAGTCACTGTATATATATATATATATATATATATATATATATATATATATATATATATATATATATATATATATATATATATATATATATATATATATATATATATATATATATATATATATATATATATATATAGGTGTTAAAACTAACTTTAGGAAAAAATTAGCCTGATTGGAGCACTATTGTTCCCGCTCCCCCCAGACTCCTTTAAATTAAAAAAATGGTCAAAAAGTGACTATATTCGTAAGGCTGGGGGAGGTAATAATTTCAAAATTTTGAACTAATTTTTTTTATAAGAATGATGCATATTTTCAAATTATGGGCTACTTTAGGCAGAATTTGCCACCATATGCTGTTTTATTGTGTTAAATAGTGATAAATTTGCAAAAAATAGTGTTAAAATTGCAAAAAAATGAATAATTTTAACCCGAATTATAAGAATGATGAAATACTTTGTTTTACACTTTTATTATGTTTTTGATCAACTATTTTCTTTTTTTCCATTATTTTATTATATTTCTATGGCCATAAGAATTTTACTTGTTTAGATTATAATAGATAAAATAAAATACTTATTGCCATATTGAAGTTTTGTTGCATATATTGAGAGAGTTTTATGAAAAGTTTATGACCTGTAGTTTTCTTGTATGTTTGAACTTCCTAATTTTAATTTTGAAAGTACGGTAGTGTTTATTTTTAAAAGTAATATTTTTTTTATACATTTATGCAGGTTTTATGACTGTATTATGATGAATATTAAATTGACAGGTTTTATGATGAACATTAAAAAAAAATAAAAAAAAATAAAATAAAAAGTCATTAATACTATATTGCATGCCTACAAAACTAATAGAGAGTCGATGAATTCCCTTGGTTAAAATGGTAAAAGCAAGTGTATATTATCTTTGATTAAAGCTCCTTGGAATAAAGCTGGATTTCCAACAGTTTCTGACAAAACCCTTAGAAATTATCTAAGTAATCTAGAAAAAGAATACTACAATTTAAAAAAGCATGATTAAAAAATCACCAAATCTTAAACATACCATTATGTTCAACAAGAAAAGATTAGATAAAAATGAAGCCAAAGATTTGAAGTTTTTAGATGATCAAGAAAGCCATAGAAAGTTTATTCTTGGAACCGAGGATAAAAAATATCGTAAATTGTCTAGAGAGAGTATTCGAATAAAAAAAGTTTAAAAGAAAACACAATACTCTGGAAGCAAATTTAGATTTTAGAACTAAGTTTTTTTAGATGAAAATGAGAAATGTTGAATGATTTAGACTTTGAGCATGGAGACAGGATAAAGAGAAAGAAAAAATAAATGAAAAACCAATTATGTGCACAATTTATTGAAAGATATTTGCAGTGGTGGTGTTGCTCTTGCAGCATTAATCAATGATATATCTCCTGCAGTTCTCCAGAAAGTTGTCACTTCTGTTGTTCATAAAACTGGTGTGGATGTAAGTAAATTACACTGCAGCATTTCAACAGCCTCGTCACATTTAAAAAAATTAGTAATAAGTAAACGAGCCAGAAATGACATTAAAGCTGCTTTAAAATTTTATTTTGATACTTGTTGATTTTTCTTATAGTACCTTCAAGCATCTCTCAAGCATCTTCCTCAGCGGAGTACTTCTCAAGCATCTTCCTCAACAGAGGAATAATATAAAGGCGTGATAAATCTCCTTAAGGAATATGAAACCAAAGGAAACATCGGAGGGCTATGCTTTTATACAACTTCCAGGAATACTGGAACTAAAATGGATTCCCTTTTTAGAATAGCAAACAATCTAGATATCTATCCATTATTTCTTGCTTGTTGACACCACATATCAGAGCTGAAGATTTTTCACTTTTGTAATGTTGTGACTCAAAGAAAGATATATGGACCAAAGAATTTTTTATTTAAAAAACTCAAAGACATATTTGAAACTCCTGGTTTTCATTATGATACAAATGTTACAAGATTTATTTGGGAAAAGACAAAAGGAATTGTTATCGAATGTGCTGCAGTTGAGTCTCTAAATTTTTGCAAAAAATATAATAAAAGTAAAATATTTTTAAGAGACGATAGAAAAGAACTAGCTGAGCTAGTTATTGCTTATTTTTCTTCTGAAGGTGTAAAATTTAGGAAACCAGGAGCCGTCCACCATGCAAAGTTCCTCGGAAAAGCCATATATTATCTAAATTTGCAACTTTTTTCTAATCAAATTAAATTTGTTCAAGAAGATAAACTACTTTTAGAAGAAATAAATATCATGGCAGAATTCATAGCATGTTTTTATGCAAAATGGTATTGCAATCTGATAAGGCTATCAAAGTACCATGTCTAGATATTTTATTAATACATAAAATGCATCTAGGCAAAGAGATTTGTGCCAAACCAGACGCAGTTAAAGCAGTATTGAAATCATTTTACAAATATTCCTAATATCTAGTTTATAAAATTAAACTTCTTTGTTGGATAAAGACGTTTCTAACAAAGA